CTACGGTTATTTAACTTTCCGAATCGAGCCGATTTACGCGGGTCGCCATTTTGTTTTGCCCGGAAGTTCTCGGGCTACTCCTCTCTCTCTCTCTCTTTCCACTGCCCACAGACAAAATTACACGCTTTTAGGCTTAACACTAAAAATAGTAATAGATCTAGAACATTTGTTCACAGCACAGAATTCTACAATTCTGTTATCACAGTGTAGAATTCTGTGGTTCAGGCTCAAAGCTTCACTGGTTGGCCTGGGCTATAACGGTGAATGCCCACCCGGTGAGAATAGCCAAAAGACTCGCCTGTGCTATTCTCACCCGGGGTGAGAATGGAGGTGGCCTTCAACACAAGGACAAGAGTGCTAGATCTAGAATGTTTGTTCACGGTGAACGCTACACCGGTTGGCTTATTACGGAGAACGCACACCGGGTGAGAATAACCAAAAGGCTCGCCTGCGCTATTCTTACACCGAGAGGAGGCCCAAGCCCAATAAAACAAAACGGATTCCGTAAACAAATCAAAAAGGTCTGAAACAAAAATCAAGTCAACACCACATACAGTACGGCCACCTTCTATTCTCACCCGGAGTGAGAATAGTGCAGGCGATTCTTGTGGCTATTCTCACCCGGTGCGCGTTCACCAAATTTTGCGTTCACCCTAAACCACAGAATTCTACACTGTGATAACAGAAAAATTGGTAAATTTTTACTTTCACTCCCGCACACAGATGCACTGTTTCAGGGGTCAAACCGAAAAATTGTAGAATTCTGTGCCGTGAACAAACGTTCCATTACAACTGTAGCCTACTAAAAGCGTACAATTTTGTCTGTGGGCAGTGGAGAGAGAGAGAGAAAGAGAGAGAGGAGTAGCGCGAGAATTTCTGGGCAAAACAAAATGGCGACCCGCGTAGTTCGGTTCGATTCGAAAAGTTAAATAGCCGTAGCATCTTTGTAGACAACCAAATTAATTTACTTTTGTGTTTTAACATCATTTTTTAACTTTGTTTTGGTCAATTTGATCGTCCACACCGATAGACAGTATTCAGAAAGAGACAGAGAGAGAGAAGAGGGGAGGAGTTGATCTTGCGAGAACTTCCGGGCGGGTGAGAATAGCCACTTTCATACAGTACAGGACTCTCAAACAAGTCACAAAAAACTGTGAGAGGTGGCTTTCTCAATTTCACAAGAACTTCTAGATCTAGATCTAGATCTAGATGTAGATCTATATTCTAATCATCTAGGAAGTGGTTATTCTCACTAGATTCTAGGTCTGACTAGAGAACAAAAAAAAAGCATCATGATGGTTATGACGACGGAAGTGGCTATTCTCATTCGGGGTGAGAATAGAAAAACGATCTACCTCTCACCCCGGGTGAGAATTGCCAGCGTAGGCTATTCTCACCCGGTGCGAAACAAGACCTGCTTTTCCTCATTTTGGAATACTGTCTATCGGTGTGGATGATCCAATTGAATAAAAGCCAAGAAAAAATTACGTTATATAGCACAAAAGTAAGCTAATTTGATCGTCTTCAAAGATGCTATGGCTATTTCACTGTTCGAATCGAGCCGAACTACGCGGGTCGCCATTTTGTTTTGCCCGGAAGTTCTCGCAAGATCTACTCCTCCCCTATCTCTCTCTCTCTGTCTCTTTCTGAATACTGTCTATCGGTGTGGACGATCAAATTGACCAAAACAAAGTTAAAAAATGATGTTAAATTAAAACACAAAAGTAAATTAATTTGGTTTCTACAAAGATGCTACAGCTATTTAACTTTTCGAATCGAGCCGAACTACGCGGGTCGCCATTTTGTTTTGACCGGAAGTTCTCGCGCTACTCCTCTCTCTCTGTCTTTCTCTCTCTCCACTGCCCACAGACAAAATTGTACGCTTTTAGTAGGCTAGGCTACAGTTGTAATGGAACGTTTGTTCACGGCACAGAATTCTACAATGTTTCTGTTATCGCAGTGTAGAATTCTGTGGTTTAGGGTGAACGCAAAATTTGTTGGCCTAGATCTAGGCTATAACGGTGAACGCGCACCGGGTGAGAATAGCCAAAAGACTCGCCTGCACTATTCTCATCCCGGGTGAGAATAAAGGTGGCCTATGACGACAATGAAACGGCTGAGTGACAGGCAATTTTTGTAGCCTACATCATCGACATCAAACAGGTAAAAGCAACATTACAGAAAGGAAGAGAAAAATACACAGCCTCTACTGCTTCATCATTGTATTCATACAGTTTACCTTTTTGACTTCAAACCTCTTCTTGCATGTTCTTTCCCCCGATACACTGGGTCCCTCTTCGATATCTTCTGCGTTATCAACATCCATCGCAGCCGCCATTTTGGGTAAACGCTGAAATGGACGAACCAAAATAGTGGATGAAGTGTTTTCTATTTATAGATTGAAACGAAGCAAACTTCAACAACGAACATAAAAGAAGCGAAACAAAACAATAACTGCTACAATAAATGCAAAGTGAATTAAGACTGCAGTTAATTAACCCTCCTCCTCCTTCTCTTCTTCTTCATCATCATCTCCATCATCATCATTATGATCTTCATCTTCATTTTTATCTTCATCTTTATCTTCTTCATAATCTTCATCTTATTCTTCCTGCTTTTGCTTTATTTCCGCTTTCACGCGCGCGTGTCCAGTGTGTTTGTGTGTGTGTGTGTGTGTGTGTGTGTGTGTGTATGTGTAAGGGGGGGGGGTAGGGGTAGGGGGTAGGTATGTGTATGTGTGTGAGTGTGTGTGTGAGTGTAAGTGTGTGTGTGTGTATGTGTGTGTGTGTGTGTGTGTGAGAGAGAGAGAGAGAGACAGACAGAGACAGAGACAGAGAGAAAGAGAGAGAGAAAGAGAGAGAGAGGAGGGGGGAATAATAAGTGTGGTTTTTGTGTGTGTGTGTGTGTGTGTGTGTGTGTGTGTGTGTGTGTGTGTGTGTGTGTGTGTG